CTCTTGCTCAGGCTGGTTTCGAACTCCTGAGCTCAAACAATCCTCCCATCTCAGCCTCCCAGAGTGCTAGGATTACAGGCGTGAGCCACCACGCCCAGCCTACAAAACTCTTTATGACAGAAAAATTCAAACAGAAAATAAAAAGAACAATATAATGAACATCCATGTACCTCAACAATCTTCAACAATTAGAAACACATATTCAACCACCTTTTATTTATAACTTAGCACTTTTCCCCTTTCTATAAAAGGAAACCTAGATATCATATTTCATGTATAAATATTTTTTATGTATCTACAACAAGCAAGGGAAAACAATTACTTTGAATTATTGGAAGCCATATCATTCCTATGGTATAAGAGACAAAGTGGAGATAAAAATTTGTGAGACCAAATGGTTTTGCAAATGGGAAAAGGGACATATTAGGGCACAAACAATGAATAAACAGACAATAAAAGTGTCAACTCTATTAGAAATTTTAAAAAAGAAATTACAATGAAATATACCATTTTAAAATGTTAGAATGTGTAAGTCTGGAAAGAACAGTAACAACCTCTGTTGATTGGCTGGGGTCACTGTGAGTAATAGAAATTCTTGTACAGGACTACTGAATGTATAAAATGGTCTATTACTGGTTGGCAATTTGATAATAGCAATCAGAAAGCATAAAACATTGAGCATCTTCTGAGCCTACAATTCCATCTAAAAGAAATCTGTCCTAAGAAAATACATAAATAAGTGCACAAAGATTTTTACATGGGTTGTCACTGTTTTTTTCATAATAGTGAAAAATTTGAAACAAATTTGATGACAATAATAGGGCGCTATTTAAATAAATCATGGTATTATGTTTCCAGCAAATACAGCACACTAAATAGTCTGCAAGTCTTCCCGTTAGATAACTCTCCAAACGTTAGCTAACTGAACTCACAATCAAGTAAAAGAGGGCCGGGCGGGGCGTGGTGGCTCGCACCTGTAATCCTAGCACTCTGGGAGGCCGAGGTGGGCGGATTGTTTGAGCTCAGGAGTTCGAGACCAGCCTGAGCAACAGCGAGACCCCATCTCTACTAAAACTTCAAAGAAATTAGCTGGACAACTAAAAATATATATAGAAAAAATTAGCCGGGCATGGTGGTGCATGCCTGTAGTCCCAGCTACTCAGGAGGCTGAGGCAGAAGGATTGCTTGAGCCCAGGAGTTCGACGTCACCGTGAGCTAGGCTGATGCCCCAGCACTCTAGCCTGGGCAACAGAGTGAGACTCTGTCTCAAAAAAAAAAAAAAAGAAAGTAAAAGAAGACTTCAAAGGCCAAGATCAATGAGGAAGAGAGAATGCAGAATAGCAAGCTAACCTAAAACCCTGGCTTCTTTTGGGGCATTTGCCAACACTACAAACTTGCGGCCTAGACTCACACAGGTGAAATGGTATGATATAAATTCTAGTATTTGCTTTAAAATACCCTAGCAAAGCAACAAGAACAAAAAGATATGTGTGTTGTGGAAAGAGAAATAAAATATGAAAAATAATAACTAATGAAGCTAGGAGTTCATTACACTATTTCTGTTTTGTGTGCATTTGAAATTTTCAGTTATATAAAGTAATACATCCATGCATGTGTGTGTGTGTATGGAAAAAGCAAGAACCAAGAGTAGTAATAAAGTAGTCCCCTACTTATCCATGATCTCATTTTCTGCAGTTTCAATCATCTGAGGTCAACTACAGTTTGAAAATGTTAAAAGGAAAATTCCAGAAATAAACAATTCAGAAGTTTTAAATTGCACATTGTTCTAAGTTGCATGGTAAAATCTCGCATCTTCTAGCCTGGGATGTGAATCTTCCCTTTGTCCAGCATATCCATGCTGTACCTACTACCCACCTGTTAGTCACTTAGTAGCTGTCTTGGTTATCAGATCGACTGTTGCAGTATTGCAGTCCTTGTGTTCAAGTAACCCTTATTTGACTTAATAATAGCCCCAAAGTGCCAGAGCAGTGATGCTGGCAATTCGGATATGCCAAGGAGAAGCCATAAAGTGCTTCCTTTAAGTGAAAAGGTGAAAATTCTTGACTTAATAAGAAAAGAAAAAAACTTGTATGCTGAGGTTGCTGAGATCTACGGTAAAAACAAATCCTCCATCCATGAAATTGTGAAGAAGGAAAAAGAAATTCAAGCTACTTTTGTTGTCGCACCTCAAACTGCAAAAGTTATGGCCACAGTGCATGTTAAGTACTTTGTTAGGATGGAAAAGACACTAAATTTGTGGATAGAAGACATGAACAGAAATGTGTTGTGAATGATGGCAATTGGGTTCGGTACCATCCATGCTTCTAGGCATTCACTGAAGGTCTTAGAACATATGTAACCCCTGCAAATGAGGGGGGAATACCGTACACTACTGAATAAGAGCAAGTTAGGAGATTTGTCTTAGCAGATATTAAGGTGTATTTTAAAGCTATGGTCATTGAGATTGGGACAGAAAAAAGCAAAGGAAAGAGAATAGAAAGCCTAAAAATAAACCTGCCCATACAATGATACCTTGATACGTGCCAGAAATGGCTTTGTGGATCAATGTGGAAAGGACTGACCATGCAATGACGCTGGCATTGCTGGTTACCCAGATGGAAAAGAAAATCAACTCTAAGTAAATTAAATGTGAAGTATAAAACTCTGTAACTTTAGAAGGGGTTATAAGAGAAATCTTTATGACTACAGGGTAAAGACAGTTTCTTAAATAAGACTCAATAAAGCAGAAACAAAGCAATGGATTGGCAGATCTGATTACCTCAACATTAGAAAATTCTGTTCATGAAAAGACTCTATAAAAGACATGCCAAGCCTAAGACTAAAGAAATAGAACTGCAATCTACCAAAGATTTTAAAAATGGATAAAATATAGAAAATAAATTCATAGGAGAGAAAATATAAATGACCATACACACGAGAAAGGGTGCTTACTCTAGTAATCAAAGAGATACAAAATAAAAACCAAATGAGATAACATTTCACATCTATCATACTGACAAAAGTTTAGAAGGCTGACATATGAAGTGTTGGTGGGGATGAAAAACTGAGAACTCTCAGATACTCCTGGTGGGAAAGGAAAATTGTACAACCACTCTCAAGAATCATTTGATAAAATCTAGTGTCAAGTTGGAGATGTATAAACCCTACAACTCAGCAATTCTGCTACTAGGTAAAATTCAAGAAAGAACTCTCATCCACATATATAAGAAACTAAATTACAGCTGCACTGTGTGTAATAGCAACAATTTGGAAATAAACTAAGTGTCCATAAATAGTAGAATAGATAAATTGTGATATGTTCTTACAATGGAATACTATACTACCAAGAAAAAGGGACAAACTAGAGCTACACATGATCAACCTAGACTAATTTCACAATCCATATTTACCCCAAAAAGGGAAGTTGCACAATACATACAGTATATTATTTGTATAATGTTTAAAAACATGCAAATACAATACCATATATTGCTTATATACATATATAGGTTGAGCATCTCAAATCAAAAAATCTGAAAATCCAAAATGCGTCAAAATCCAAAATTTTTTGAGCACTGACTGATGCTCAAAGGAAATGATCATTGGAGCATCTCAGATTTTGGATTCTTAGATTAAGGGACACTCAACTGGCAGGTATAATGTAAATATTAAAAAAATCCGAATTCTGAAACACTTCTGGAACCAAGCATTTCAGATAAGAAATACTCAACCTGTATAACAAAAATTCAAAGAAATGTACAGGAACAATAAACAATTTTAGGATAGGGGCTATCTCTGTGGGAGAGAGAGAATTACATAGGGAGCTTCGACTGGACTGATAACACAGAGGTTGACTGAATTTTTTAAAGCCCTTTTGAATGTCTTGAACATTTCACAGTAAATTTTAAAAATACTAATAATTTTAATGATTACAATATATTTAGCTATCAAACACATTATAGATGTATCTTTATTGATGTGGAAAGATGTCAGACTGTATTATCAAGTATAAATCATGTTATAAAAAGCATGCTGCCTCCTGTTTTAAAAAGATCCATAAATGAATATATAATTATTATTATATATTATACATTTTAAAAGTTTAGAAGGATATACAACCAAAATATAAACAATAGTTATCTCTGTAATGGATGATTTGATTTTCCTTTTTTATTCTGTTATTTCTATTTTCCAGTGTTTGAATAATAAATGATCTTACTTGGACACTGATAGTAACTTATTTAAAAATGAGATATAATTTTACTTCACAAAATCCTATTATTAAATTTTAGAAACAAAGCCAAATCATTGGTCCTGTAGGTAGTTTCCCATTGCTGTTTTATCCCAGATATAGATAAGTCAACTAGCTGATAAAATACACAACTAGATTTAATATGTTTCCAACTGAAAATGTCAATGGAAAAATTATGAAACATTCCAGCAGAAAAGAAGGAAAAATATATACACCTTAAGGTATTTTATGAGTGGTCAAACCATAGGGAATGGATAGGATATAAAATTTTCACACAAATACACAATACACACACTGTGAACTGTAACAAGGACATTTGTAATGGCTTAGTAAGCACATACAAAGAGGAATTTGTGAGTGGGTGGTAGGGGCCAGAGGGAACACTTGCATAAAACACATGAATAAAAGTCAAGCAGGGCTGTCACCAACAAACCAGTACTGTTTAAATTACCTTTCGCTTTTCATCATCTGGGTAAGTCCAATAAGAGATGCAGTTTCCAGAAAGAACACACCATCTTCGATGCCAGGCACCAAAACCACTAACATCTTCAAATATGGTCTGGAAAAATCAATTGAAATGCTGGCTTTAGAAACTTGAGGAGTGTCCTAACAATGAAATGCTAATTCTATATGTTAAACCTCCATTTGCTGACATATTTCATATCTCAAAATCTATTTTATTTGTATTTTTATGTCTTTTACCTTAGTAATGAAAATCATTGATCACTCATATCAGAAATTTACTTCAATATCATCTACAAGCATTTAAAAACATCCAGATATTAACCCCAAATAAATATCTCTTACCTAATTTTAGATTTTTTTAAAGGGCAGTGTCCCTAACCAAGGGCTCCTTAAACAAGAGAAATGCCTCAAATGTTGGAGAGTAAAATGATATTAGAATATTATAATCAAAATAACCAATGATAGCATATTAAGCTAAACCTTTCTTAATATGGTAGACTGGCATTTAATTTTTATTCCGGAGAACGAATGTTCTCAGGATTAGAAAAAAGGCAGTTTGTGATTATAAACCTTGATGGATTACTGGGATAAACATCAGGACTCCAAGCCCACTGCTGAACTATCAAGCACGCTTGGAAGCAGCACGTCCCTACAGGCAGGTGTTTGGCCAGCTCCTGCCTTAGGAATGCAAGTTAAAAGGGAGGTGAAGCAGTAGTGTTGGTTATGGACAGGACTCCGTAATAAGTAGCTAATGACATTTGGTTTTCACAGAAGCACTTCCACTTAAACAGTGTTTAAGTAGAAGCTGGGTCCCTACCCCAACTATTTTTCAGTTGTAGTCCTAACAGTGCCCTAATCTGTATAAAAGTCCTCACTTTTAATTTTTAAAAGATTCCTTTAGGAACTTTTATGTTAAAGAACAAAGCAAGGTAAAAAAATGTAACAATGCTATAGATCAGGGGTTGACAAATTTTTTCCATAAAGGGCCAGAGAGTAAAGACTATAGACTTTGTGGGCCACATGGTCTCTGACACAACTATTCAGCTCTGCTCTGGTAGCACAAAAGGAGCCACAGACAGTAAGTAAACAGATGAGCCTATGTTCCAATAAAAGCCTATAAAAACGGGCAGTGGACCCTACTATGCTGCCTTCTGATACCGATAATCCAAAGCCATCTTTGCGCTTGATTTCAGAATGCATTAAGGCTTTTCCACCTTCAAATCACAACTTTGCCTCTCTGTGACAGCTAATAAAAATAAACTAATATTATTTGGTTTTTGCTGTGAGGCACCATTCCTAAGTATGTCACCATCTCTGTGCTGCAGACATCCGAAAATTGTCAGTCATTATTTCAATTAATCTTTACACCAACCCTATGACAGTAGGATACACAGTTTTCTCAATTCACTAATTTATGTGAATTTCCCAAAAGGTGGCTTGAACGAGGAAGGCAATTTCTGGCCACTGAAGAAAGTTACTTTGTGTGAGAGGAAACGTTTCCACGATAGATTGAAACCTCAATTTACTTAGCTCACTACACAACCACATTCCCTCCTGTCCCTTCTTTTTTCCCCTCCCCTAGTCCATCCTCTTTCCTTTCCTAAGCATTTATTACTTTTTCTGGGCAACGCTGCTCACAGCCACCCAAGGGAGATGAAAAGGAATCTTCCTATTTCAATCTCAAGCACAAAAGTTAAAACAAATGACTCACCAGCTCCCTCCTGTGTTTATGTTCATCTTTTATATCATAAAAAGAATATGTGGACAAGGAAAATTTTGACAGACAAGAATCACACCAGCTATTATTATAGCTACTATGATCAGAGAGGAATAAGAAAAGAACAGCCTTTTCATTTTTATAGCTGAGGAAACTGAGGGCCAGAGAAATTAGATGACACACACTCACTAGGCAGAATTGGAACTTTCTAGCTGCCAGTCTAGAATGTCCACCTCTTGCTGCTCCCCAGTCGAGGCAGAGCTGGACCAGCACCACTTCAGAACCACTTACCAGTCTCTTGGTAGTAGTCTCCCTCCTTCGAGCTGCCCTGGCACATCAGGAAGGGAAACTGAACCGAGCAGCTTTCATTTCAGTCACTACCTCTATTTTTCATAGAGGGTAGAGGTAATTACCATGCATTGTTTAGGCAGAGGAAGTTATGTTGGCAAGTCCTGAACTCTTTCTTACTATATTCTATACATGTGCATGTGATAAAAATGGGCTGTAGCATTCAAGACAGAGTAAAGGATCTAACAAACTAGTTAAGAGCCCAGTTGAAAAATGAAATACGTCAGACTCAACATGCAAATGAACGAGCTGCCATAACGGAGCCTATCAGTTGCTCAAGCTGTCTAAAATAAAATATAAAAATATTTACATTAAAAGAAAAGATCAATAGAGGTAAACACTGCCTTTAAGTCAGAAATTTATAAAAATGCTTTTCCAAGAATATCTAGTGCCACCTGCTGGATTCATATATGAAGAAAGCTAAAGAGGAAGAAAAAACTTTGTTAACAGTATCCTCGGAAAGTCTGTTCCACAGTTAACTAGGCCACATAGGCTTTCCTTACACTCTAGCTCTTCTTTCTGCACCTTTGACAGCAGTTGCAAACTGATTGGTAACATCCCTTGTATCATTCAGATTCTTGCTTCACAGAGAAAACTGAAGCGATTAGATTTTCTCTACTTCTTGCTCCACACTCACAGTCTTCTATGTATTCTACATACACACATTTCTCTCTTCTGGCAAATGGGAAAGGTATAATTCTGTATCAGAGCAATCCCATGGACTGTGGCTTGGGCATATTTCTTGCCACTCTCACAACACTGCTCCATGAATTACCCCATTAATCCCAGTTCAGGTTCCCCATGGCCTCCATCTTTAACCTCTTTGGCCCTATTAGAAACTGTCCATTTGCATTTAAAGCCACCCAAGTCTCTCCCATCTTAATAAAATGCCAACAAAATCTTTCTTTCCCTGTACATACATCTGCAAGTACCATACTCTTCCCTCTTTACCCCTCTCACTGCCAAACTGTTTCCAAGAGTTGCTCCTGCTCTCAGTCCTCACCTCCCACTCACTCTAGAACCATTTGCAATCCAGCTTCTGTTCTCACCAGGGCTGGAATGACCACCTGGTAAATAAGTCCAACAGTCATAACAGATCCTGGGCCTGATGTGACTTGGCCACTCCCTCCTCCTAACGCTCTCTTCGATTGGCAACCATGATGCTAGATCCTCTGTTTCCCTCCCTGCAGTCCCCCTAAGGGTTTCCCTCTCCTGCCTGTCCTATAGCTGCTGCCCTCACAGTTCTGCTTCACTTCTTCGCCCCAGACTTTGATCACCATTTCCATGATACGGATATCCAAATCTTTGCCTCAGCTAAAAATGTCTTTAGCTCCAAACCCAGATATTTGAAACATGTCTCTAGGCATCTATAATTCAAATTGTTTAAAACTTAACTCATTAAAACTTCCCACCTCAGGTGGGAATTGACTGGGAAGGGGCATGAAAGAACCTTCTGGGTGATGGCAATGTTCTATATCTTAATAGAAATTTGGATTACACAAGGTGTATGCATTTGTCAAAGGTCAGGGAATGCGCACTTACAATTTAGGGAAAAGTGCCTAATGTCTACAGTATACTTTGAAATTACCAAAAAGATAAGATAGATTGAGCAATGGGCTGAGGAATGGCTAAAAGTAGATATGTAATAAAGAAGAGTTAAAAGTATGACAGGTAAAATCTAGATGGTGGGTATATGGGTGTTCATTGTAAAATTCTATCAACTTGCTTTATGTTTGCCATTTTTCACAATAAAATGTTGGGGGAAGATACACCAGCTCCCACCCCAAGCGTGGGAATGATTTGATCTTCCCACAAGGTCCCTTATCTCAGTGGCATCCCTGCCACCAACAGCTTGTGCATGGCAGGAATCTGGGTGCCATCCTGACTTCTGCTTTTCCACTCCCTAGAGCCAAATCACTAGGATCTGCCCTTCCTCTCTCTCCATGTCCCCATGACGGGTCCTTCTCTCCAACCCAGCTGCTGGTCCTCAACCTCTCTCACATGCAGTAACTCAGTCTCCTAACCAGTCCTCTTCAGGGTTGTAATTCTCCAATCCACTTTTGTTTCCTTAGCTTAGAATCCTATGAGATCCACCCATTGGCCCCAGGATGAAGTCCAAATTCTTTAAAAAACTCTTTAACACTTGGCCCATTTCTCCTAACCACACTTTCCTCCCAGTCACTCCCCTCACCACCACCACTCCCCCCACCACCAAACACACACATACACTCAAACTCTAAGCTCCAGCTATCCTGAGATACCTGCCACTGTCTGAATATGTCATACTTCTTTTCTTTGGGTCAGGGTGGGAGAGGGAAGGGCCCTGTAGGCCACTGTACATACTCCCCTTATTGAAGCACTTCTCCCCTTTCTCCCTGGCTAACTTACTCAGCAGTCTAGAAGTTACTTCCCCTAGTAGCGTCCTTTAACCCTCCCTACCCACAGTCAAGACCTGGTATCCCACCAATTACACCTAGGCACCCCATGGTTTCTCCTCTTATAGTACTGCATTGTACTTGCCCGGTCACTTGGATTTCTCCCAACTAAACTAAAAGCTCATGAGTGGAGAAATTTTTTGTGGCCTATTACATTCTGATACCAGCACAGTGATTGGCATGTACAGGATATGCAACAAGTCTTTACTGAACCAACTTATCATTTAATCACATAGGATTTCATTCCCATGGGAAACCAAGTCTGCATTTCATAAAAAGAAAAAGAAAATAAAGATTAAGTGACGTTACTTACTAGAAAACCTCTTTCTTCAACACTGGAATTCACTTGACATTTTATTTTTAAATAAATATGACCTTCTAAAGGAGATAAAAAGGGCACCTGCAAAGACAGAGGATAAATTATTTGCAAAACAGTTCAAAGAGTGATTTTTCTCAATAAACCACACATAAACTATGAACAGAGCATATTACACCATGAAAATAACAGCATTTTTTAAAGCTGGAATGTAAAAAATGCCACCAAAAGGCCACTGGTTCCTTAGCAACAAATACTTTTGAAGAGTAAATTTATTCATGGTAAAGCTTGACAAAAATAAGAGCCCTAAGAGCCAAGTTCTTGTGAGGAAGAAAACATAGATTTAAGAAGAGAATACACGTTTATCCATTCTCCATCAACAGAAGAATATACTCCATAGGTGACTGGATAACGCAAACTGTAAATTCATATAATACAACATCACGCAGTAATAAAGAACCATGAACTGCAAAAATGGGAAAGCCAATCCGCAAATTCATATGAAATTGAAAGAAGCCCCAAATAATCCAATCAATCTTGAAAAAGAAGAACAAAGTTGGAAGAATTGTACCTCCCAACTTCAAAACTTAATATAAAACTTTGGTAATCAAAATAGTGTGGTACTGGCATAAGAACAGACATACAGACAAAAGGAATAAAAGTGAGAGTGCAGAAATAAACCCATACATAGAGGGTTAACTAATTCTTGACGAGGATGCCAAGACCATTTAAAGGAAAAGAACAGTCTTTTTCAACAGTGCTGAGAAAACTGGATATCTACATGCACAAGAGAGAATCTGGACTCTAACTCACACCATATACAAAAATTAACTCAAAATGGATAATGACCTAAATATGAGAGCTAGAACTATAAAACTCACAGAAAAAAAGAGGTAAAGCTTCATGATCATCAATTTGGCAATGGATTCTCAGATATGATACTAAAGGCATAAGTAAAATGAGAAAAGAATAGGTTAGTTACACTTCATCAAAATTAAAAACCCTTCAGTATAGAGGTTCCTCAAAAAAATAAAAATAGAACTGCCACATAACCGAGCAATCCCACTTTCAGGTATTTAACCAAAAGAATTGAAATCTGGTTCTTTAAGTGACAATTGCACTCCAGTGTTCATTGCAGCATTATTCACAACCTAAATGTAGATCAATAAATGAACAGATCAAGAAAATGTGGTACATATATACAATGAAATATTATTTAGTCATAAAAAAGAAGGAAATCCTGTCATATGCTACAATATGAATGAAACTTAACATTATGCTAAGTGAAATAAGCCAGTCACAGAAGGACAAATCCTGCACGATTCCATTTACATGAGGTATCTACACTTGCTCTTAGCCAAAAGGCTGAGAAACAATATACGAGATATTTAAGGTAGCCGAACTCATAGAGGCAGAAAGTAGAATGGCAACTGCCAGGGGCTGGGGGAGAAGAAAATGAGGAGTTGCTGTTCCATGGGTATAGAATTTTAATCATCAAGATGAAAAAATTCTAGAGATATACTGTACAATATTGTGCTTATAGTACACTTAAAAACTTGTTAAGAGGATAAATCTTACTTACCATTATAAAAAAGTTATAAAAAAAATTATAAACCTTTGTCCATCAAAGCACATTGTGAAAAGATAATCTACATAATGGTAGAAAATATTGTAAATCATGTATCTGATAATGATCTAGTATCCAGAATATACAAAGAACTCTAATAACTCAGCAACAAAAAAACAACCCAATTCAAACAATTCAAACAACCCAAAGCAAAAATTTAGAAAAGGACTTGAATAGACATTTCTTCAAAGAAGATAACCTTGTAGGTTATATATGGGTAAAAAATAAAGTTGCCCTATAACACATATAACACAGAGTTAAATACATTTCATGATGACAATTTTTATTGAATATTATTTGTGCCATTTTACTTTTAGGAAGATTTCCAAAATTAAGGACCTCATACCCAATATAAGTCTGCATAACAGAGAGGGCAGAAAGATGCTAACTTAGACCTAGCGGTGAAAGCCGATGTTGAAATCCATCTGAAAAACTACTTAAGTTCAATACAAAGAAGGTCTGGAATGGCCTAAATGCAGACCAGATCCCACTACTGTCATGATGTGATGACTCTTCACTCTCAACCTTGGCTGATTTGCCAACTATATATAGACACCCAAAATTAAACCTATATTCTTTTCACTAAAATTATCCCAATGTGTGTTGCAAGGATACACAAAAAGAAGTTCCACTTCCAAAAGATCACCATTTTTACTGAATAATAAGAAAACACTGGATAAAATTCAAAAATCTTATTTTTCTTAACCTTAGTTCAGTCTAAATTTGAAGGTTTTTACTATAGTTTCCAACAATTTGATCCTCCAACGTAATAAAGATAACTTAAAGGGGGAATTCTAGGAGAAAAAGTATAAATTTCAATAGACTAATTCCAGGAGACAAATCTCCCACTTCCTAAATTTAAAAGGTATCCATGATGTAGAATCAAAACAACACATCCTCATCATTCTGTTTGTGAAAAATTCCCCTGCTTTTCTCTTTTCTTTATAGTCAGTTTTAAGTTCCTCGGGGTCTTTCCTCTCAATGCTAATTAATTAGCACAATTGCATTATTTAGTCCAGAGAATGCTACTGGTTAAAAGAATTTAAGAAAGATGAGGAGAAAATGTGCCCTCTTACTTTTTGGTTGTGGAAAAGTAGAAAATATTCTTGGCTAGAAGCTTGTCCTGATAAAGAAGTGAATGGAGAATATTCACAGAAGGGTCAAGCTTACCGTCCCCTCCCCACAAGACCTGAGTGAAAATGTATGATCCGATTCTCTTTTATGTTTAACAAATGAGTCTTATAAGATATCTACACTTCAAAGATTATGTTAAGAGCAGTAAAACATAATCTATAACCAACATGATCATGTAATTTGTTATCTGCGAGGATATTTTTGAGAATGAAAGGGGCGCTATTAATGATTGCACAAGGCCAGCCAGGCATGTGAGCTCACGCCTGTAGTCCCGGCTACTCAGGAGGCTGGGGTGGGAGGATGGCTTGAGCTCAGGAGTCGGAGGCTGCAGTGGACTATGATGGCACCAGCATAGATGACAGAGCAAGACTCCATCTCTTAAAAAAAAAAAAAAAAAGCAAGAGCCCATCTCTAAAAAAAAGAAAATTTTAGATAATAAAAATAAAGTAAGTACACAAGGCCAACAGGCATAAGCTAGATAGCTCTGGGCACGCCGGAATGCCTAACCACTCTAACCCCAAAACTCTATAATTCTAATTGTTTGTTTTACTTCATGATTGTTTGCCCTAATAATGTTTAAACTGACATTTCTATTTCCTAGAAGGTATAAATATCTAAGAGGTACCTTTAAGTCAGAAGAACTTTCTGATGTCCTTCTCCCTTTATCTATAAAAGTCTAATAAAACTATGACTGTTTTGAATTCCCTATTCAAAGAAAGGGTTTGAGAGTCTGAATCATTGAGATTGGTAATTTAAGTTCCAGGAAGCCAGGCTTTAACTCCAATATGTATAACTTCAAATATCGTAACAATCTGCTGTTAGTGGCATCTTAAATCTGTAGAGCAAACAACTGGATTAACCTCAATAGAAATCCCATGCTGAAGGGGATCCCAGAGATAATCCCTGTGATGGTTGTATTATTTTGGTCCAGGCACCAGTAAAATAAACAAACACCCCCTTGTACTGACAGTATCTGGTAGGATATGAGAGACCTGTCTAACCTCTCAAAGACAATTAAATAGGATATATTACAATATATTACAAGTATACAAGTATAGAAAGTCTCACATTTGTCCCACAAACTTAAAGAACACCTAAACTTAATTATTTTAAATATGCTCCTATATCAATTGTAAGCAATTGGAACAAATATTTGCTTCTCCTCATCACTCATAAAAACACAAAATTTGTCCCTAATTTTACCTCTAAATTGTACTGTATTTGACTCAGAAAGAGACTTAACAGTAAAAGACACAATCACTTAAATTGAGTGATTTGATTTTGCACTCAATCACGTTGTTGGCTATTCATTGTTACAATTTCAAAGAAGTGAAGAGAATGAAAATATAATTTAATTTTAATTTGTAAGTGAGACATTTTGAATTAAAATGGAAGTCAAAAAAATTTTCAAAAGAACAGTCCATATTTAAGATATGCCACTGAAATCTCTTACATATGTAGAAATTGGCTTTGTGACAATACTGAGTAAGAAATACAGTTCACAAAAACCCCACTTCCTATATTTATCTAACTTGCAAATCTTGTTTCAAGAATTTAAAATAAAATGAAAAACACCGTCCAGTATTTTGCTAATGAGCATTTCTTTTAACCCACAGAATGTTTGCAATTGATCTTTACAAGAAAATTAAAAATCTAAAGTTTTCTAAAATATATGCTTATATTCAGTATTTTAGTGTCAAATGCATTTTAATTTCAAAATTAATAAGCAAAGAATCATCTATATAGCAATGCACCTATTAGCTAATCAAGACCATAAAGGTTTTCTAATTTTATTTAAAACATCACCAAGAGCTCTTTTAGTACATGGGGGGGCGGTCAAAAATATTAAATAATTTTTAGTTTTAAATATAGTTACTAATTTGGTATTCTAATTGATGCTTAGAAAATTAACATTGAGTGAATATAGAATTTTAAAGAACTATGAAAGAAGAAAGAATATAGAAAAACACCCAAATACCACACATGCATGGAAAAAAAATAGAGAACTTTCAAAGCAGACTTTAAATTATGAGAGTGGAGAAAGAGAACCCCATCTCTAAGAGTTTCAAGAAAGAATGTACATAATGTCCTTAATTATTCAAAATAAACAAAAAGAGTTGTTAGTGAAACAAATACATGTGGATCAAAAATTAAGGATTGATTTTTAAGCTCATTAGTTTCAAGCAAAGAAAATATGGCAACCTTTTCTCGGAACATATAGCCCAGTAGCTCTTGCGCTTTTACATCATAATTTATCTAAAACAAACAAAATAAAAGACAGAGAAAAAAAAAAACAAACTCAGGATCACTTGATTTGTTAAGCTAGCTGAATTACTAAATAAAAAATTACATAAATTTTTTTAAATTAACATGTTAAAATATATTTATACATTAATAGGGAATCAAAATTTCATATATAGGTCTGCTTTTGGTCCATCAACTAAAAAAAAATTCATAGAATTTTAAAGTTAGATTATTTTAAGCTAACCTAATATTCTATACTGGGAAAGTAAAACCCCAGAGAAATGAAGCAACTTTGCTCAATGTAAAAGAATAAATTATGGCCAGGCGCGGTGGCTCACGCCTGTAATCCTTGCACTCTGGGAGGCCGAGGCAGGCAGATTGTTTGAGCTCAGGAGTTCGAGACCAGCCTGAGCAAGAGCGAGACCCTGTCTCTACTAAAAAATAGAAAGAAACTATCTGGACAACTAAAAATATATAGAAAAAATTAGCTGGGCATGGTGGCGCATGCCTGTAGTCCCAGCTACTCGGGAGGCTGAGGCAGTAGGATCACTTGAGCCCAGGAGTTTGATGTTGCTTTGAGCTAGGCTAACGCCACGGCACTCACTCTAGCCAGGGCAACAGAGTGAGACTCTGTCTCAAAAAAAAAAAAAAAAAAAAAAAATTATTAGCAGGGCAAACACATGAATCAGGCCTTCTAATATTTCTATACTTCTTCATCTCAATATTCTGACTACAGAAATCTCTTATAATAATATCAAATATCACTGTATTATATAGCAAGAGTCAACCCAAGGAATAAAATTTGCCTCTAGTTCGTTTATTCCTTAAAATGGTCTCATTAGCAAAAGGTTAGTTTTATCACATTATGATGAGAAAGTACTCAATGGTGATATAACACAGATTTGAATTCCGAAGCTTCTAACTTGAGAGGGAAGTATGGCAGAAAATCCCTTAGATTTATAAGTACTTTCCTAAGAGATTATCTTTCTCTATCTTGTTAAATATAAATCCATAAAATATTGCTTATTTCAAAATAACAGTTAAATAGGCAAGACATTATGTTTTAAAACTGTAAACTTAATATCTAAATGTAAGAAGTAATACTTCTTTAGTAAAAAGTGACACTTTGAATAAGCCGGCATACACTACTATTAAGAGACAAGGGAGAAACACTTCCAACATCAAAAAATATATCATTTAGGTACACCCATACCTAGTTAAAAATGTGCAATTCTAAGAATGTACATTTTCAGCGAAAGATTCCAAATACTTGAAAGCACTGCAGCATTTCCATTGAGTTAATTTTTCTAAAATTAAAAAAAAAAACACAACACACACTTACAAATAAAGTTGGATTACCTTGTCCAGAACAAACTTAGTGTTTCCTACTGAAGATAATGACAGGGTGTAAGATCCAACAAGGGCAAAGTTGCTGGTACGCACAGCATTGAGACCTCCTGGACTGGCCATAACTGTGAAGAAAGAGGAAATGTTTAGCTCAGAGTGACTTTTCTAAATGTAAATAGTAATTCCTCACCCCACCCTAATAGGATGAAATTAAATTGCCACAGAGAAAGGGGCTGCTTCATTTTCCTCCATCTTTAAATATGGAAGAAAACAAAACATCAACATATGTCCTACTGAAAGAAAACTATCAAGTATTTTGTACTTTAAGTGAGGTACAGGCACTCCTTAACATTTGGGATGAATGAATTTTTAAAGTCACAGACCTAAAAAATATGTACATAAAAAGCAACTTCTCCATAAAAATAGGACGAGACTTCATTCCTAGTTACAGTCCAGCATGACATAATTAGCAGCAGAGACTATCTCTGCACAAGTCTTCTTAGTAACTCTCTTATGCTACAGAGAAGAAAAAGACCAATAGCCCAAAAGCAGTAAGGGCAACCAGCTCCATCCTAATTCCCTGTGGAAAACGCAGGCCGAATGCCATTCCAGAGAATGCCTTTCCTGGCTCACTGGCACTCTAGTTCCCAGTGAACTAGAAAGATGCTCTTCTGACAGGATATGGTGCCAGTTATGGTCAGTAAAGTTAAAGGAAGTAAACTCCACAGGGCAGATAGCACAAAACAAATCTATAGAACAAGGGAAGTTGAGGTGAAGTGTAATGCCACCTGCTGCCATTGTCAAGTGACTAGGGATCACATGTATATTGACTACTAGAGCCTGAGTAACGTAATGATTGGTAGTCCATGGTGGTGCCCAATGAAGATGCAATGAGATTACATGCTATTCTGGCCAGTAATCTTATATGTTATTTAAAAACCCATATAAAAAATATTACCCATAAGAGACCAAGGTAAACACTCATAAATCAAGATGGCATATATATATACAACCACTTAGTTCTTCACTTTATTCTAAAGTTTTAAGTAGTTCAAGATCGACTCACCTGAAGAATGAATGTTGCTTTTCTAAAAGGGTGTGAAAAGAAACATAAGTTATTTCTTTTATTTGATACGATGATTTAAATATAAAATACAAAACTCTTTTAACACAATAAAGACATTTCAGAAAACATTTTTCCTGCACAAATATCAGGGATTTTTCCCCATTAGTATATTTTCAAAATTTCCATAGTGCGAAGAGTTTAGAAATGGTCAACCAATTTAAAATTGTATGTGTAAGATGAAGATTTCTCAAGGGAGCTCAATTTCTTAAAAATTCTACTTACTGTGCTCATAGATGTGAGGAGTCGCTTTGGAGTAATAGCCTAAAAGAAATGATAGCTCAGTATATTTCCTATTAAACATTATGATCCAGATTTTAAAATTAACCAACCTTGAGATGTTCCTACATAGAAAATAATTCTTAAATATGAATACCTTATACTTGAGTCCTTGGCTTTCTCATACTGTTATTCTTTTTTTGTCAGAAAAACAATTGTTTTAAATGATGACTTAGGAAGAGAACACAAGAGCAAAGACAGGGAAGGTTGGAAAGCAACCTAGAGCTTCTATTCTTTATGTCTGCACAGTGACCATATATATAATTCTGTACTGGTTTAGAGAACTAAGTGAGACAAGAGTTCAAAGAAAAGCCGTTATAAAAGTTAGTGTCAAGTAAATGTAGAGAAAATAGAATTACCTAGCCTGAAGGTATTAGGAGCTTATACCTAGAATCATGATCACCCACTATTAGTTTA